AGTTCGGCCAGTCCTGCTATACGGTGCAGAAACGTGGCCATTAAGAAAACAGGATAAAGACAGACTGTCGGTGTTTGAACACCGCTGTCTACGCAGCATTGCACGAATCTGGTGAGGTAGCCGGATGAGCAATGCTGAGGTTAGGGGCAGAGTTTTGGGTAAATACGGTCGCCCACCGGAGCAAGTGGTCGACCTACATAGATTACGTTGGCTGGGACATGTGTTACGCATGTCACCAGATAGGTTACTCCGGCGAGCGATGTTCGCCAAAGCAGACACCGAGTGGAAACAAGCCAAGGGTGGTCAAGTTAAGACCTGGCACGAGGGTATGAATACCCTAACCAAGAAACTGGATCACATAGGTCCTGTTAGGATCCCTGGTTGGGGACCTCGGGATAATCGTAACCGATGGTTAGTGACACTGAGTGATATGGCTGGGTGTCACAACCAGTGGCGTTCGTGCATCTTCTCAATCTCTTTGCAACCTTAGAGCACTGAACTTCTCCATTTTCTGTTTAACTCCACTTTCAACTTTCCTTTCTTCTCTTATTCTTCATCCCAATGGGCAACCAAAACCGGCGCACGCAAGTGCATGGTTAATGGTTGTTCAAACTGAAACTGAAACTGAAACTCGGTCAGGGCAACCGGGAAGTGATATGCCCCCACAATCTGTGAACAAATCCTACGTATTTTTTTCTTCATGTGTTGTGGCACATTTGCCAGTTCTGTGTAATTAGTTACGTGTTGAAATAAATTAAAATAATAAGTGTATTACAAATAGCAGATATTACCAGACACAAGAATAGTTGCATAACTTGAAGCGGTGAATCGATCAGGGTCTGCATGAGGTGTTCTGTGAAATGGATGACGACCGACTGAATGAAGAAGTAGACATCGACAACATTGAATGTGAAAGTAATTTTAAAACAGGTTCCGAAAAAAATGGTTTAGTTGCCAGAAATTACCGGAGCTTAGATACTTTTGCCTACATTGTGTGTCACTATTGCATACCTTGTACTGAAGAAGCCGCGGTTGAACCCAACACGTTCAAATATTTCGCATCTGCTGGACGGGTGGACAGGATGCGAGCGTTGAATCGAGCCACTTGAGAATTGCTCTTCCGATACAACAAGAAAACATTGTCCGCGTTGGACATTTGACCGTGATAAACCGCGTGCTGGATCCGGATCATTTCTTCCATACACAGAGTGACCACGGAGTCCTCGAATCCGCCCATTTGACGCATACCGACCGTATCGAATACCAAACCATTGAACAGCAACAACGGAGTCCTTCCAAGACCTTTCAAACCGGATCGTTGCATGAATTCCTCATGTTTCTAAAATGATGATGGCGGTCACACAGACAAAACAGTGGTAAACACGGCATCCAACAATTCACGCACGTACGGCACAAACATCACATTATTTTGGATATTCTTTACGAAATCTTCAGCACTTAAACCTGATCATTGAACAGTTTTCGTTCCATGTTATAACAATACACGGGAAACTGCATAGTCCCTAGAGACCATTATGGAAATCCTGGAACTAAGAATGAATATACAGGAGAAGCTGTGTGCGCAGAGCCAGTTGAGATTCCGGATATCCTTAGGCTTGTTAAATTAATTAAATTTGACAACAGATTGACGAATTTGGTAACTTGCCCCGCAATTGAATACTGCAGTCATGTGTTTGGTGGGGCTTCGTCTTGTGCTTGTCTCATTTTGATCGTGTTCAACGGAAGGCCAAACGGTTAAGCAATGATTCTTGCCTAACTTCTAATATGCAACCAATAGCCCACCATCGATCAGTTGCTTTGCTTTCCCATTCTCTCTCTCTCAGAAGTTCTTCGTTATGCAACTCTTGCCCGCCCACCTAGTGCTTCGGTAGCTTTTCAGATTTCAGTGACTAGATATCGTACTTCTCTCATTTCTTTCTTCTTTCTTTCTGAGCTGCCTAGTTGTAGAACACTCTCCCACTCCGCCTGTCACATATTAATCGCAAAATCAATAAGCCGCATCTTACATGAGTGTTCCCCTACTCACTCTTGTACAGTATGTATGTGAACTAAAAGATTCCCCTCTTTTACTACAATTCACTTTATATGCAATAAAAAGTTATTTAAACCCGACCACCTGAATCACCGGCCTAAGATTTGTGAAATCTTGACAGTGGACAATTCTTGAACTAAACCGACTCTTCCTTCGTATGCGAGAGTCTCAATGTTCAATACCTTCGTGTTCACTTGCCTTGACCTGGGCAACCTGACAGTATTCCGTGGAATTTTCTTTGTCTTAAAACGATTATGGTACCTTCATTTATTTGGCACCCAGTCTGGACTCAGACGTGTGTGAAATACACACACAATCCGGGGGTTCAGGTCATGGGGCAAGAATTTAATTCTTCTTGATTTTACCCGGCGATTATGTACATTCCTATTATTCATCCTTAGGATTTCCTGATAACTTGCTCTGGAAACGCACAACAACAGTCGATCACACGCTTCGTGTTTCATTCGATGGGCTCACGGAAACTCAAAGATCAATGTACCTATGAGTGATCAGAGTTCGCGGGTGCCTGTCCCCTGACAATTCGGGGGTCAAAAAAGTTAGCGCGGAATGACGCAAGCTGAATGCAATTGGTATTCCAGTCTAGCGATCGATAACGACTGTTATCATTTAGATTCATAAACGAATGAAAAGTTATACATAAATTAAATAAACACCTAGATGCGAATCAGATAAAAGCAAAGAGGGAACCACTGGTAGTTGCTCTGTAAAATAAGAGCGATGCGGAACAATAAAGATAAGAATTCACTGTAGCTAATGGACCAAACTTCCGGGTGACCCTAATGCGAATCAAGTAGTTAGGACAATAACTCCAAAATCAATTCACACGTGCAAAGCCGTCATCCGATGATACCCCCGCACGACTGGAAAGATTCTACAACCACACACACTGTGGTGAAGTGGGTGTGATGTTGACCGAAGCAGGTAGTTGGAACGACAATGGCGACTGGAATATGACCTGATACGAAGGTATGAAAACCCTAACTAGTCAACTTGGCCGTGTCGAACACGATCTAAATGATAGCTAGAAACCCGATGTGACACGGCTGCACCATAAACAGTGATGCTCGAGCATCGACTCACGCCTATCGTACACTTCAGTTGCACCCATTTGTTTATTATTATTCTCTTCCCTATTGGTTGAATAGATGGGTGACCTCAAGGGACCAAACGGACTGCACACAATGAAGCTGAAAAGCAATGAAGTTAAAACCATCTGGACAGAAAAAACGGTGCATTGTTTCTCCAGTTCTCTTGTCTTGGCAACACAGTGCATAGGTGACTGACACCTTCATCCAAATGGGCAATCATGAGACAACAATCAAAACCGGCGCATGAATTTGCATGGTTGATGGTTGTACAAACTGAACTGAGTGACTAATTAATCATTTTTAAACAGCTCGACCATTAGAATCAAGCCTAGTTATTTGATTGAGAACGATGCAGTTATGATGGTAGTTTAGCATGTGACCAATGGAATGAAAATCGGCAGCCGTTTTACCACATATGGGATGTTCACAGACCGTCAGAGCACGTTACTTCACAGCCGCTCCAACCGAAGAAAGAGGATGATTCTGAGATAAACACCGAAATCCTTTGACTAGAAGGTCAAACATTCAAACCGACAGGACGGAGCTTAGAATGCGCAACCCTTTGGAAACAGGTGTCCAGTTCATCAGATAACATACCTTTTAGACGGAATCAAAAACGCCCAACGTACCCAACACACCACGATACCCAATCAAGTCGGGGATCACTGCCACAACCAAGAACGCGTTGCTACTTTTCCAAGTCCCTTCTTGATGAGCATGGGATCTCCAGCTGAACTGCCGGTAGTTTGTCAACTCGGGTAAAGCCTCAGATGTCGGCTTTTCGTTTTATCACTTTGGTGGATAAACACTACCACTCAAATGCAGTGAGTGGAGTAAATCGGCAGAAGCTATTTGGGACACTTGTTCGTGTGGGGGGAAACAGAAGGATGACCATTCGTAAGGAAAGTCAACTACCCCAATCCATCCTTTTTCATTATTATTGTTGTTGCGTTGGCAACATGCTTTTTAGCGAGCCTGTTGCATATATATATATATACATATTATAAATAGTATGTGAATGACTAGACGAAATTTCCCTGGAAGTACACGACC